CGTCACACTGATAAACTAAAATAAAGTAAGCAACCTTAGATAATAAATATTTTATTAAATAGCAAATTCAAAAAATGATAAATAAAATGTAAACATAAATTTTACTGATATATGTTTAACTTTCAGTAGCATTTAAAAATAATTCTAATGTCATTTAATATCTCTTTTCTAATGTCATTTTCCTTGAAATGCATCTCACATACCTATAACAAAATGAATACAATATTTAAATGTGCATTTAAAATAAATAGTACATACTATATTCATGTATGAAAAATTAATAGATTTTTGTAGAAAAATTAATAGATTTAAATTTCATAATCAAATAAATTACAATATATTATGGTCAAACAAAAATGTTTAAAGTTTGAGCAAAAATTTAATAAAATACTAAAATTATTAATATTTTTATAAAATAAAACTCTATAAAAATAACTATATATTACAATAGTTTGCGATATGATTGATAAGAACAACTTAATTATTATAAATAATTTATCCACAATTTAAAATAATTTACTCTTAGTAAAAATATAATAAAGAAGCATAATTAAATTTTTAAAAATAAGAACAAATATTACTCACTTTAGAATTCTTTGCAACTTCAAAATCTCTTGGCATGGCGGCAAGCCATTTCTTACGTATTGGGAAATCCAAAATTTAATACTTTTGTACCATCAACTTTGTAAAATCCTCTGCAGTTTGGTACACAGCACTCATATGCAATTATTCATAACACTAAGAATTAAATTAATGCTGATATTTATAACATTTGTAGAATAAATATAAATTTTATGAAGAACGTTGACATCAGAACACCGACGGTTGTTTACAAATTCAAATCAAAAATATTCGCCCATTGGCTGAATGCCGACACAGGTTATAATACTTCAGAATATCGCCAATGGCTCGTTTGATCAGATTCGGAGTTTTTCGTAAAAATAGCTACCCTGACTGGAATTCCTCTGGGCCTAACTCTACTACGCCTTAGTAACCCGTTGTGGGGCTTGATTCCTCTCTAGGAGGTATTGGTTAAACCCATATTGATATGCTAGTTGGCTTTGTTTTGGCTATGATATATTATGATAAATCGCCAAATTATGGATCTCCTACCCATACTTTCTACGTCCGTTGGGAATAATTATATTCACTTGGAATTCAAAATTTGTGGTGGCAAGGAGTCCCCTTTGAGGCGCTCCTGTCTCAGTCATCCTAACGGCTTAAAAAAAAATATATGCAATCGTAACAAAAAAAAATGCTAACAAAAACACAAAAACTTCTTGATGTGAAAGTTATATTTCCTTGATCCCTTCAAGTGATTTATTTTTGATAATTGGTAATTATCATGATGAATTTATATTGATGGCCATTCTCTATAATCTTCAAGAAATATTGCTTAATAAATTGGATTTTCATATTCACGATTCATATTAATTTCCTGGAGACTTTCATTTTGTTTCATACATTTACTTTTATTAATGGCCTAAATGAACAATCATGAATTCCACTATACGAATATTGGCGGCTAAGGTATTTTAAAAGATAGGAAATAAATATGTAATGCCAATTGTGGCATCACATTAAAGTTTTATTATTTCAGAAATAATTCAAGTAGTGTTCGCATTTGAAAACAATTGTAAACAGCAGTTTTCAGTAAGAGTTTTTATTCAATTTATTGCATTTTGTTAAGTCAATAATTGATAAGTAAAAATTAAAAAAAAAAGTCCTGTAAAAACTCTCTTAAAAATTATAAATTTCTACATCAAGTTTTTTATTTAGTTAGTTTTGTTCATTTGTTTCTCTATTTTTAGTTAATTAGTTGAAATTGCGAATGAAATTTTTAAGTGTTTGCAAAAAAATTCCTAGAAGTGAATTTGGATTATTCAATCGTTTAGTTTTGGAACTATGATGTTTTCCCACAAACAAATATGAAATTCTAAGAAGTTATTCAGATTTAAGATTAAGTCACTCTTAATGCAGCATACTTTAATGAATAATTGATAAAAACGTTTTTGCTATTGCTGTCAAATGAGTTTGGAGAGAATTCTAATTAATTTAAAATACAACAGAATGTCACTATTCAACTTGTAACTTATAGTTCATTTGGCAATATACTAAGATAACAGCTGCTAAGTTTTTCTGAACAATTTTGGTACTTTTTACAATAAATTTCACAGTTATAAAATTTTTGAATCGATGAATTGAAATGATGCAGGAAAAAATACATTATGGTTTTATGTTAAAGTATAATTGGATCTTGATAAGGGTGCAACCCACTTTACTTGTTTTCATTAGTAAAATCTGCATTAAATGACTTGAAAAATTGTCAGATAAAAACTTAACCTATTAAAGTATATTTGGAATTTGGAGGAAATGAGATTTATTTTACTTATGTTTATATATGAAACTATATAAAATGTCTTATAATAAAGTATTATTCTATTAAAGTATATTTGGATATCAAACTTCATGAATCATGAGTACACTTTTCTCTCTTGTATTCGGTTATAAAAATTCTTGATGTTGGTGCTTAGTTTTTAATATTTTGTAATTACTATTAGTAAGTCAATTGAAAATAATAATTCATAAACGTAAAGTATATTTCACAATTACTGTAATCGTATACCGCATTTCTTAAGTTATTGTTTTCAACTTAAAGCTTTGAAATCTGTTCTTAATCTATTCTAAGTGTGTCTTTTTTATCTTTTAAAATCTGTTTACTGTATGTCATTTTTTGTGAAAAAGCATGTCCAAGTAAAACTTTTATATCATATAAACAAAGGTATGATTTACTGGGATAACCAAGTTTCTTAAAAAGTTTTGAAAACTAAAATAGTTAGGAAATTATAATAAAACAACAAGACAATAAATATACAAAAATACAGAATAAATAGGTTACTTTATAGCATCAAATATACTTTGGCATCTGCATACATCCGTAAATTTGACGAAAGGCTTATTTTTAACTTATGCATCGATTAATCTAAAAGTATTTTTCCCAGTAGGATAAATATTAACTTTGAAAATCTTAAGCATATGTATATTCTTGAAAATGTTTTTCCTTCCTTTTCGTATTTAGATTCACATTAATTATATTAAAACATATTACTTGTTTCGGTTGAAATGGTAAGTAACCATTGTTCTTTGTGCACGCAAAAGAATAAAATTTGATTAATTCTAAAAAAATGTTTTTCATGAGCAATTCTCTTATAATAAACTATATCATAAAGTTGAATCATTAGAACTGTATTACGTCAGATTAAACATTTTTTTTTCTTGATAAATGAGCCATTGTTGTGAATTTAGTCAAAGCAAAATATTGAAAATGCAATCAAATCACATTTTTTCTAGATAAATCCTTGGTTGTTAACTATGTCTGGTTGAATCTCCTAATGTCCGAGGTGGTATTAGAGCAGATTCACCACAGTTGGGCGGTTGGTGAGTAAGGTGCGAAGACCAGGTGATCATGACCACCGCCTTCACTCCGATTTAAATTCTGGTAGGGAAAATTTGGCAATTGCGAGTATTGTATTCTGATCTTCTCTTACAGTTATTAACATATTAGTAATGCTTAACACCGATGCTAGCTATCAAATTCAGAATAGATACTTAATCGAGTAAATTATTAATTTATTAACTCCTCTTATTCACGATTTGTGATACTCAATAGTATTTTACCGTATTTTACCGTTTGGTTAAGATTTGAATAGTCAATAGTGAAACAGAATGCGTAACAGAAAAATTAAGTTGGATTTAAGTTATTAAATAAACTTAGCTATTACTTACATATGAGAACAGACAGATTAGAGGGAATGAACATCTTCTATCTTGTATTATACTTTAGGGGAAAATTTATCATATTATAGGGTACACAACATTTTAAATAGGGCTCAAATCAAAAACTGTTAGCGTAAATTTTAAAGAATGCGAAAAGTCCGAAAAACAAAATTGAGAAACAGAATTTATAGTTATTATAATTAAAGTTGAATAAAAAAAAAGATCTGTTCTTCAATTGAATTATTTTATATAAAAATGATTTAAATTTTAACAATTTTATTATTGTCATAACCACATAAAATGTAAGGTGAATATTCATTAAGAAACTCAAATAAAGATTTATATCACCACGATGTGTTTATTTACTTCATCTAATCAGTTTCAATTATTTAATCTTGACTAAGTCTGCTAAATTATATGTTTGGCTCTTCCTAAAAAATTAAGGGTTTTTTGTATTCAAAACTTTAAAAGTGTTTTGATAAAAATTAAGATAAATATTTTTTAAAAATATTTTTTAAAATTCAATATTTATTAATGAAAGGCACTCTCGTTTAAATTTTTAATTCGGTAAAAACTATGCACCTATCTTATTTTCAACACATTTTAGTTTTTAAGTTATCTAAAATTTAAAATTTTTTTGAACATATTTAAAATGTCAAATAAATATTTCTTTTGATGTTTTCGACTATAATAACTTTTTCCTTTACGTATTCTCGTTAAATTATGGTTTTTCGTATTGTACTTTCTCAAAAGAAAATTTTTAGTTGAATGCGCTTACAAAACATAAATTAAGTGAGAAAAAGACAGAATAATTAAAGCTTAAATGTAAATAGTTTAAACTTCTTATTTAAAAATGTAAGGCTTTCTTCACATTTAATGAAAAATTGTTAATTTTTTTTTATTGATTTGTGGCTGTTTTAATTTCCAATTCCAAATGAAGGGTCTACAACTAAGTACATCAAAGAAGTATTTAATCAGATATTAATGAAGGTAACTCACTTTTTATTAACAAGAAAAAACTTTTAAAGAAAAATAAAATGTGAAGTAATTAAGACTCCATATCGATTTACTGAATATAAACAACTCCACTTCTTACAGGACAAAATTACGGATAATGTTTAAAAATCTGCTTGCTTTATAAATATCTGAATAACTTAATGAATGCAGAAGGTGAGGGACATTTTATAGGTATTCATTAATTAGGGAAATACTTTTAAGTGATTGCATCAATATGGATATTACTAGAGTAACAGAATTGTTTTTGCTTGAACTTTAATTTTGATATAGGGGAGAGTCGGATAGCCCCGCCCAGCGGGTACCCCCGCCCACTGTTAATTTCATATGTATAGAATATTTTTACAAGTCAATGGGCCATCGGACATTAATTACTATATTAAAAAAAGATTATTTTCAAAGTTTCAAGTATTTATGCAGCTGGTAACATGGTAAATAATAGTTTTGAAAATATGTTGAATACAATAGTCATGAAATTAAGAAAAATTGGTTGAATGTTTCGATTAATTTTCATTTCAATACTAAAATTTTTTTTCTATACATACAGCATTAAAGTATGAAGTTTTAAGTTTAATTTGCGCAAAGAAAGAAGTTTATATGTGAAAAATTGTTCAATCAATTTACAAAAAAATTAGATATCGTTTAGCCCCGCTCACATGAATGTCGGGTATCTCCGCCCAATTTTATTTCGTCGATAAATGTACGGTTGCAAAGATTATTATTTTATTGCTTCAAATTTGAGTGTTATATGCATTTTTAACCACAAATATTGTTGTTATGAAATAATTGTTATTAAATGATAGAATTCACTAAAAGTATATAAATATGTAATAAATAATATAATTTTGTGTTAAAAATGATAAACGAGGTTTATCTATTGTCAATACATTGGTCATTTTCATTTACACCTGAAAAAACAGTCAAAAAACACAAATTTTGTAACTGGGCGGGACTACCCGACACATTTTGAAAAGAGCTGAAAAATATTTTTTTCTAAATTTCTATTTTTTTAAGTTAAACTATTCTTTTTTGGTTTATTCTTTTTGCATTATTTAATTAGATGATAAAACAATAGAAATATATAAAAATATTGATAATTACTCAATATTATACAGAAATATGAGCAATACTCCTTAAGTGAGCAGGGGTACCCGACTCTCCCCTAACTACTCTTTTTGAGCGTGATAGCATTATTTTTATTTCAAATTAGATATTGGTAAATAAGGCAAAGAATTATTAGTCCTACCTTCTAATAAATCCATAAAATAGTTCAGATACAACTTAACCTGTATATTCACACTTGAAATTTCACTTAGATGGTTCATCCTCTGAGAACTTCCTTGACTGGATATTAGAAACTCCTTTTTTCTATTTTTCACTTCAACTCACACAGATGAATGAAAAAAATCTGGTCATTCAATACTAATAAGAAAGTAATAAAATGACAAGATGTTGAGAACTTTTTACAAAGC